CCCCCCCGTGCTCCCTCCCGGCCAGCCTGGCTGCTGATGACAAAGGTGATGTGCGGTTGGGGTTAAAACCATGGTCAGAGCAGCGCTAGAAAATGGCATTCCCTGCCTCGTGCTGTAAACACCAGGACGGAGAGGTCTGTGGAAAATGTGTGTTCTTAAGAGTGAATATAAAATTGTATCAAAACAGTATGCTTCTGTTTTAGATTAAAATGAAATGACACATGAAACGGGCTTGTTGTGGTCCACCAGCCATGGTGTGGTTGAAACCGTAGGCTGCTTTGTCTAAGAACTTACACTAAATTTTTTAGATTCGGTATATAACCAAATCCACTGTCACAGACAGTTACAAAAAGAATAGATGAAGAGGGTTGTCTAACAAAGTAATGTTATCTGTAACGTTACTGAGGCTATGTTGTGTTGGATGTTTGCGTAATATTTCGTATGGCATTGTTTGATAAAAAGCTGTTTGTGTTTTTCAGTTCTGCTTGTTAAAGCTTTGGTTTTGTTTCTCTTAACAGTGACCGTGTTCTTAAGCACTTTGACTCCAAAATTCTACTTTGCCCTTACAGTGACTTCGTCTTTTATATCAGGACTGATATTTGTAAGTAGTTTACTTATATTTTTCTAGACAACTGTAGGATGCTTTCGTTAGGGGTAAATGCAATTGGCTTTTTTTTATCAGACTCTAGAGGGTGCCTTTGTACTAGGAAGGAACTTGTTATTTAGTGGCTTTTCTGACGTGTTATTCCTGCTCTTTTGCCATGTTGTACATTGGAGGGAGTCTGGAGAATGATGTGTGCCTGTTTTAGAAGCTCAGACTTGTTTGTGCACGCTCCAGACGCCAGCGTGCGCAGACGTGGCTGGCTGCACGCAGTGAACAGGGCACGTGTGCCTGTGTCTGCAGTGGTCATCATCCCACCCCGATGCAGACAGTGGCACTGCATGCAAGTCTTTTGGGTTAATATGTATTTTCAGTATTAAAAGCTAAAGAAGATGTTTCTTCTCATCAATTAAAACTTGTTTACCAGAATGTGCAAAATCTGTTTTGTAGGTGACTCTTTTGTAGCCACCGTTTACAAAAAAAAAAAGAAAGTGTCTTCTGTGGCAGAAACAAACTTGTTTGTGGTCAGTAATGTTGCTTGGGTTGAGGAATTGGAATTGAGGAATTTGAGGAAAGTTGGATAAGGAGATGGATTCTGCTTGTGATAGGTCTGTTGCGTAGGTTTGCTCTTAAGAGAAAAAAAGGGGTTATTGTTCAGCTGCTATTTATAGTGATACTTCTTCACAAAGAATACAGTCTGTCTAAACATCACTTGACTAAAATTTTTCTTTTTTTTCAGTCTTTTTCGTGCTATGTAGGTGATCCTGCATGACAAGACAGGCCCAAACAGATAGTGTTAATTTGTGTGTGGATGAGTTCCATCTATAGCCATTTGCGTGGCTGGGAACAACTGGCTCTTCATCGCTGGTGTTTGTGTTGGAAGGGTACTGCCTAAGGAAATTCCTGGTGCTTTTTTCTCCTGTGACAGGTGTTTGAGTGGTGGCATTTCCGAAAATACGGCACGTCTTTCATTGAGCAAGTTTCTGTGAGTCATTTGAGGCCCCTCATTGGTGGTGCAGAAAACAGCCCTCCAGCACCAGCAGCGTTCTCGGCTGGAGAGAATGAGGCAAGCAGGCAGAACATGCCAGGTGATTGTTAATGTTCTCAGCGCTTTTCCCGAAGCTTCAAGGTGGCTGGTTCACACAAACTGGCTTTTAAATGGCTTTGACTCTACACTAGTGCTTGTAGTAACTGGAGAAAGGCCTACATCTTACAATGTGGTTTTTTTTTTTTTAATAATGGTAAAGATAAAGTATGTAATAATGTATCTTTAATCTAAAACATTCTTAAAAACATTTTAGAAAACACTTTGCACATTTAGCTAAAGCTGTTTCAGTAACATTACTTATTTGCTCATTTAAATACGTGCACAGTGAACATTGCGTGGTTATAAACGACAGCGTTTAATCTTTCCACCGTGTGCTTTTGTAGCACAGCAAGGTTGGGGAGCAAAAAGATTTATGGGATAGCAGAAGCTTAGGGAGGTGATTGTATGATTGTGGTCAGCTTGTATAAAAATAATGTTAAAGCAGCTTTTGAGAGGAAAATTGCATTTGCACGACTGTATTTTGAAGTCAAGGTAGTATTTCTTGTGCTCTCAATTTTTAAAGAGTCCGTTTTTGGTTTTTTTTTTCCCCAGAGTGCAAAGTGTGGCGAAATCCTCTCAATCTTTTCAGAGGGGCAGAATATAGCAGGTATTAATTATCTTACTTTCCATTGTGTTTCTTTAAAGCTAATCGGGAGCATAAATATGACTTCTTCACAGAGCTGGCTCTAGTAATACGGAGAGACAGCGGAGTCTTGCAAGATCGCAGGGATGGTTTATGCCAGTGCTGTGTTTAAAAGGCACCTATTCAAGCGTTGGCAGTTTCAGTGTTAAGAATGCAAATATTACTGTAACATCATCAGGTTTTTTGAGAGTAAAGTAAGATAAAAATATTCCAAGAATTATTTTCTTCCTCTTTTCAAAAACTCTGAAAGTAATAGTCTTTCAGCTGTTACGACTTTATTCAGAGGTTGAGACAGTGGTTCTGAATCTGAATTCTCTTTTATTGAACTGATCTGGCTGTGTCATAAGTGTCCTTGTGTTATGTTGTAGGAAAAGCTGCTTCCTAGGAAGCCAGTTCCCAAGTTGTTTTGGACTTTAAGATCAAAAAGACTTTTTTCCCCCCCCTCTGCAGAAAGCCTTCTGGCAACCTGTACAGATTGTGGAACAGTAGTACTTGAAAACTTCTGGTTAGTAGTTCTGGTCTCTTATTAATAAAGACTTTCTGCACTATCTTCAGTTGTTGAGCACATCAGCTGTCCCCTGTGGCGTCAGCATTACTCCTTACCAGGAGTGCCTCTTACTGAATTTTCTCCCGTTAAAGGTACATGTGGGTGACTGGGAAGGAGCCTCTTACCTACTATGACATGAACTTGTCTGCTCAAGACCATCAGAACTTTTTCACATGTGACACTGATGCCCTTCGGCCTTCGGATACAGGTACCGGTGTCGTGCGCGTGGGGTGTAGAGCTGCTGCGGGGTGCGAAGGGGGTGTTTGTCACACACATCGAGGTTCTGCAAGTTGTGTCAAGTATTTTGTGAAACGACAGCGGCTTTTTACTGCTTAGGAGGTTTAACAGGTGTCTTTTTACCTTGTGCTTTCTCTACTGATTTCCAGGCTGTCAGGATCCTGGCACGTTTTAAGATCTCACACTTTCCAAAGAATTAACAGCGCAGTATTGGGAACCTGGATGTTATCCTCAACAGCCAAAGACGTGGTCTTATTTAGACCTTAGTAATGAATAGTGAAGTCTCCAGAATTTTTTTCTTGTGTTCCACATGTTTAGTGCAGAGAATGTTCTCTACCTGGTTCTTGTCAGTAGGTGCAAACTATTGTCAGGTTGTCAAGTCCCGGAAGCGTTACTGGCCGACTGGCTGCGACAAGCCTCATATGAACGATGTGTTTTTCTTGCACAAAGGGAGTGTATTGTCTCACTTACTAAGCCAAGACTAATATTTTGTTTCCAAAAGAAAACTCAAACATTTTTCCACGTTATTCTTGTTGGACAGCAGAAGGTTTTGTTCCAAAAGAAACATGTATAGATTCTTCAGTTTTCTTATCGTGCTTGAGATAGGCCAGATATGGAACTCCGTGGACGTCAGGTTTTGGAGTTCTTTCAGGCTCTTATTTAGTATGGAAGCTATTAGTTCGACACAGAAGATGGTAGCTCTGATGTTGCTTTTCTTTTGCTGTAAGTTGCTTTCCAGTTGGGATTTCCATTTTTCCCTAATGGAAGCATAGTGGGGAAAGGTTTAGAGTTGCTGCATTGAGCTTTTGTTTGCTCCTGATCTGACTAATTGTGAATTCAAGTTGTAACACAGACCATCCTTCTGAGCAGGTAGATTTCACTCTTTTTAATTGTTTCCTGGAATACTTTCTAATAAAGTGATAAATTATGATAGTATGTCTTGCATTGGCTCTGCCATGTTATGACACTCAAATGTGCCTTGTAAATTTAAAAAAAATTGCTTAACCCTTTATGATCTGGTAGCTGTCTAAATACTTAAGTATGAAACTGTACCTGTGCAAGACACAGCTTACTTACTCTAGCACTGTTTTCTTTGAAGTTCTGTTTGAAAGCTTAAATTAAAATTCCGTGCAGGTCTGTGCACAGAACCTGTGTTTAACAATTGCTCCTGCCAAGCTTTCCACAAGTCTTGGGAAACGTTTCCAAAAATCTGTAGCCATTTAGAAACTGTACATCTGCCTGGTTATGTAAGCTGTCTTTGCTTCTCGGTGTAGGAGTTCTTCCATGGTCAGTGAATAATCTTCCTGGTGGTGTTGCTTTCTTAAATTAAATTTGGGGCGTGATGAGAAGTGGCAGGATTCTGCCGCTTGTGGTAGAAACTCACGCTGGGATTAAAACACTTGTTTACTCTTCCCTGTAACAATCGTGTAGCAAACAGGAATTTGCAGGATAGCAGTGGATGTTGGTGTGGAGCTGAGGCATCTGCAGCCAGCGTTGCCTCCGCCGGCGTCGCTGTCCCTCACCAGCCTTTCCATGTTTTTCCAACAGTTATGCAGAAAGCGTGGCGAGAGAGAAACCCTCAAGCCCGGATTAAAGCAGCATATCAAGCTTTGGAGTTGAACAACGAGTAAGTTTAGAGTATAAGTTCAATTGCTGTATTTCTAGTGTGGAAAGCGAACTGGAGTGGTACTGGGCACGCTCTCCGCGTCTTGGTCTAATAATTTCCATTTAGCAAAGTTCTGAACAGCTCAAGGGGATTTCTGTGACTAGGAGAATTGCATGTGTGGCTGTCAGTTACGCTGAAGTATTGAACTGTTCTCTAAAAAATAGCTTTTGTTCTCTCTTTTTCTTGGGAAAGACTTTTTAAAAAAAAAAATAAATCTTTGTATCAGTAGCAATAACAAATGAGAAATCTTACTCAGATGTGGAACTGTGTAACCTGAATATGAGATCATAGGTGTTTCAGAGACGGCATCGTGGTTAGACTGTGTTTGGAGTTCACAGATGCCACTCCTGTAAGAGGTTTAAAAATACTCTTACAACACAAACCAAAGAATTTAACGCACGTCTATGATCCATTTTGTTATGTAGTCTGGTTGTTTTTGTGTAGAATGTCTACCTCTTGGTTTTAAAAAAGCAAAGCAAAGCAAACCGAGAAAAACCCTCTCCAGATAACTACCAGAGCATTTTTAATATTTGTAGGAAAATTATTTGACCTGCTGTTATAATTCTTTCTTTTGTTCTTTCTCCAAATGTGTGTTTTTCTGTAGAACGGAAAAGGTTTCTGTTTTCCTGACACTCACCATTTGAACATAAGTCAATATTTTGGTACTCTAGTATTGTCAATGCTTGGATGTGAAACAGAAGTGAAAACTGCTGATTTCTAGTGCTTTTAACACTTACCCAATAAATACTGCACTGCCCCTCAGAATAATCAGTGGTTTTTTTCCTTATTACAGTTGTGCCACAGCATACGTCCTCCTGGCTGAGGAAGAAGCAACAACCATTGTAGATGCCGAGAAGTATTTCAAGCAGGCTCTGAAAGCAGGAGAAATGATTTACAAAAAGTCCCAAAACTGCCATTCCCAAAGTCCCCAGCATGAAGCACAGCTGAGTAAGCACTTTGGAACCACATAAACTCTTGGTTTTGTGTGAGCAGAAATGTAAACTGAAGTTATAATTGGCGATTCCAGTTTGATTCCCAGTTCAGTGGGGCAGTTTCTACTGGTTTAGCTATGCTTTTGCACGGCGTGCCGCGGGAGCTGTTGTAGTACATAAAGGACACTTGGGAGGTGGCAGTTAGGCTGTGCACTCATTGTTTGCCAAGGTTCAATACATTATTGTCTTGGAAAGTTGGATAGGTGGAGCAGACTAATGAGGCAATTAGTGTGTGTCAGTAGCATGCAACGTTTTGGGAAAAAACCATTTTTTTTTTCTCATTTAACCTAGTTTAAAGTTATTGGCATTGGTCTAAATTGGCCTTGTTTGGACAGCAGTAGTGATTATTTTATGCTTTTCCGTGTGGTTATGAGCAATGTTGTGGGGTTTTTGGGGGGCGTTTTGTTGTTTGTTTGGTGGGTTTTTTTTGAGAGAGGGAAGGAGAGGTAAGGATTGAGACTGCTAGACTAATTTTTTTTGGTCTTTGTAATCAGGAAGAGACACCAATGTATTGGTATATGTGAAAAGGAGACTGGCTATGTGTGCAAGGAAGCTTGGAAGAATACGAGAAGCAGTAAAAATGATGAGAGACGTAAGTAAAAATAAAAAAAGTGATTGTTGTTTTCAGTCACATTGTCTAAATTGATGGTTTAAAGTTCCTTTCTAGGCATCATAATCTAATTGAATTATTTTCCAATGAGATTTGCACCTCATAATACATGATTTTTTGAGAGCAATTGTTTTGGTTCCTACAAGTAGTTGTTTGTTTTTTTTTTTTTTTAAAAATCATGTATTATGAGGTGCAAATCTTGTGTTTATATTACATGGTGTCATATGTTCACAGTTCTGTTGTCCGGTTTGCTTCATGCCTGACTCAGTGACTATCTTGTCAAAATAGCCAACTTTAGACTTCATCATAATTTTTCTTTCTCTTGCCCAAGGTGTGTCATAAGTTCTTTTTTCATTACTGACCAAACGAACTCACTGTGGGAGATGGGCAAGTTTGGGCTGAGAGTGTGTTGCATGAAGCTCAGTATGCTTATTTTCCAGTAGGTGAATATAGGAACAGAGTAAGGTAGGAATGATGTGGTTCTTTTCATGCTGCCTACGTGCCAGTTTCTAACACTGAAAGAACAGAACATTGACAAAGCTTCAGTTATTGTGCTGGTTTCTACTGAGTATTTCAGGGATTCAAGTGCAATTCTATATGTGCTTAATTTATTTTTCTTTACTGATTTGCAGTTGATGAAAGAGTTTCCACTTCTCAGCATGCTGAATATTCATGAAAACCTCCTGGAGGCACTCCTGGAGTTGCAGGCTTACGCAGATGTCCAGGCAGTTTTAGCGAAGTATGATGGTAAGTGATGCCTGTTGGGAAATACTGGTATTTTCAAATAAGAGTGTAGGTGAGGTGGGCAAGGTGTGCCTGTCCAGAGGCAGATGTCTACCCATGATCTCAGCTAGTTGATTAGATCCCCTTCATCAGCAAGTCAAGTTTTTTCTTTTGAATGATGAGATCAAACTTAGGCAAGCTAAATTGCAAACAAATTACTTCTTATGTTTTCAAGTTACTTCTAATTTGTAAAGAAATCTTGGAGCTCACTTCGCTTCATTTAAAGGATTATTTTAATTTTTTAATCTCTTCTACATCCCTAGTGATGCCTAAGTTCATCAGCCTTTTTCAGTCAGCATATAGCCCCCGAAGTGATTGATGTAAATCAGCTGGAAAAGGTAGTTTCCCTTCTGTCATCTGCCAGGCTTGGCCTCATGGTTCCGTAATACCGAGGTTGCTCACCAGAGATGAGCAACGTGCAAGTGTACTGCTCGCCAGAGATGAGTGATGCAAACTTCCACTAGTGAGAGTCCATTACATAGTGAGAGTTTGCTTTCACTTTCCATCTCAACTAATATGTTTCAGGTGTTGTGCAGGTCCAAAGAAAGGTTAATAAAATACATACTTACTTTCTTATTGTCCTCAGAGTTTTGCCACCTAGATAATGCCCACATCATGAGTTTACAAAGTGCTGCTGTCAAAACTGTCCCTTAAATCATCTTCAGAATGGGGAACATAAAGCAGTGTTTTGTGGCTGTCGTTCTCTGCCCTTCAGAAGTCGGTGTGTTCTCTCTTGTGTCTTTGTTCTTTATTGCTTCAGGTAATTGAAAGGATGATATTTGTGCCCAACTCCTGTGCCCCATGTACGTGGCCGCCCTGGCAGCCTGTTACTTGACTGTGTTCTTCTGTGTAGATTCTTATTAATTTAACAAAACCATTTGCTCTTTTCCTGGTGCTTCTTTATGTTAACATCAGGAACTGCAACACTTTCTTAAGAAAGGGTTGTTCGTTTTTTTTTTTCCTAAGCATCTGGAAAAATGAGTATGATCTTCAGACTCTCTGTAGCACCTCTGTGTTTTGCTTGACACGACAGCCAGACTTCTAGTTAAGTGATGGACAAGCCCAGGATGGGATTTACAAAAAAAGCAAGAGCCATCTGACTATACACAACATGGTGCTTGGGAATTAGACCCCAGACTTTGTCTGCTTTTAAAGTAAACTTGTACTGTGGAGTGCTAACCTTCTAATCTGTAATTGTCAGCTCAAACTTGGCGTCAGATATTCTACAAAACCTGCAACTAATAGAATTTTTCCCTGTGGAACTGGAAAAGAGTGGAAAGTGCATTTTCATGAAAATTTGTCTCCTTCTCTGTAATGTGATTTTTTTTTTTATAAACTTCTTGCCAGTCTGTGTTTCAGTCTTATGTAAAACTCTTGTGTTAATGTACAGTTGCAAAATTAGGTAAAGACTAGAAGCTTATTTTCAACTTTTGTGGGTTAATACAGGAAAAGTACACTGTTCCTAAGTGTGTGTTTCCTAAGAAATACATGCATTTCTCTTTGAGTTCAGTTTCAGTATCTTGGTATGTTTACAAGAAAAAAATTACTCTTTACCACCTAACTACAACTCTCAGTTTTTAATCTGACACTAGCTGGTGACCAGGAAGACTTTGCAAAGAAATTCAAAGTTTCTAATCACAGCTGAAATGTTCCAAATGTTACATTCATTGTCTGCCCAAGTGAAAAACTTGAAGCTCGAAGGATGTGGGTTTTGCCTTAGAATCTTACAGCTTAATTATTTTCTTTTATCATAGATATCAGTCTTCCAAAATCAGCAGCAATATGTTACACAGCAGCCCTGTTAAAAGCCAGAGCTGTTTCGGAAAGGTAAGCAAGCATGTTTGTGCAAACAGTGGTTTGTTGCTAATCTTGGGTTTTGCTGTGAAACAGGAAAAAAATATGAAAAGGCCTAAATCAAATGTGTAGCAGCTACATTTCTAAGAGCAAGTTAAGTGTATTTATATATGTGTGCGTATGTAATTAAAAGAAACTTTAAATTACATTTAAGCATCCATACAGTTCATACAGGTGCAGATGTTTTTCAAGAGCCCGTGTACGCGCATGTGCTTTTGTATAAATTTTGTTTTCAGTCGTTTGCTGGTGACGTTCAGCAGTTCTTTGTTTTGTGGATTGGGTGCAGGATGTTTGTGGTAGCTCATGTTGATGTTCCACTTTCATTCCAGTCTGTTTGCACAGCTGATTCTAACTGTACCTCCGAGTAGGTGATGATGTGACAATCTCACGAAAGGCTGGGTGCTCAGTTACCTTGTGTGATTGATGTGAAGTTCGAAAAAATTAAACATAACTTTGTCGTATGGGCAGGGATGACAGCCAGGATACCTAAACTAACATGAACGTTTGTCTCCTACAAGGGTGTGTTTATCTTTCTTGATAAATCAGTCAGTTTTTAATGAATTCCAAGCCCACAATGCAAATAAACACCTGGTAAGCAGTTATTATCTATTACTTTTGTTCAGTGTGGGTTTTCCCCCCTCAGGTTCTCCCCAGAAACTGCCTCCAAAAGAGGGCTTAGTACAGCAGAAATTAATGCTGTGGAAGCAATTCACAGAGCTGTGGAATTTAACCCTCATGTTCCAAAGGTAAGGGTATTTTGTTTCCTGTCAGACCACTTTTTCTTGTCTGCTGGAGGAAGTAGTGGTACGTTACCGTCTTCTCGTTTGAGCCTTTCTAGCCCCGTGTTTTCTTGAAGGTGGTTATGACTCCAGCCGTCGAGTTGCTAAACACAGTGTTATTTGCATCATAAATATTTGGTGGCCAGAATTAGTTGTTTGCGACAGGTGATATTTGAACTGGGTTTCTTACAAAACGTTTAAACTCAAAATTTTTTAAGTCATTGGAAAATCCAGTAACGTGTTCATGAAGGCCCTTGATTGGGTGAGGGTAAGCGTTAATAAATATAAATTTAGATATTTAAAATCCCTGAGACCAAATCAAGTTCTCCAAACAATAACCACTCATAGTATTTCAAAATACTTTTTTCAGCTGCGCTTCCAAGCGTGGCTCCAGAACTCGGATTACTGAAAGATCCAGTCACTTATTTTCTTCATCCACGTGTAAACACGATTAAGAGTCAGAATTGCCACAGGCTGGCATTACTTGAAGTGGCCAAGATACAGATTCCACTGAGCATTGGGTGAAAATAAAATCTTAGGTTGCTTTTTCCTGTGCTGGTATTGGTGATGCCTTCGGTTTGAAAGCTGGAGTGCAGAAGGGTGACCGTGTACTGGACCTAATCCTCTGCAGAGGATGGTGGAGTCCCAGGGACTGGTGCTGGGAAGGCTCGAATTACCCCGCGCTCCGTTCTGTCTGCCTGTCCAGTCTAATAGAATGTGCACTGAGCAAGCTAATTGCTGGGAGAAATTGCTGCTTCTTTGCATGACTGATCAAGAGCGCAGCAAGTTCATTTCAGACAGTCTCAGACAGATTTTTCTTTAGCCTCTGCCTTTAGGGGAAGAAGATTATAACGCATTATCGTTATCTAAAAGTTCTTTTATTTTGTATATCCTCCAGTTATTTCAGGAGCCTCATGTACCTTTTTAAAGGAGTTAGATATCATTTCAAACAGGCTGTTTGCAAAATATGTTCCACAGCTCTACTGGCAATAACGGAAACTGATTCCAGGTTTCAGTAATTTGATCTGCCCTTCTAATTGTACACCTATCCAGTCTTCTTCATGATTTTTTTTTTTTTAATTATAGTATTGCCTTGAAACACCAATTTATTAGATGGCAGGGCAGAATTTTACTGGTGCTGGCTATCTAGAGCTCTGAAATGCTCATAGTCAAAGCAAACAAGTGAACAGGGCACAAACAATGGAAGTAACTTGCCCAGCGGCTTACAGTGGACTAGTGGGGAAGAAAATCTGTTTTTTTAATTTGCAGTCTGTTCTGTCCCATGGACTAAAGATAAATGAAGAATAAAGTAGAAATCCCTTTGTTCCTGCATGTGATGAAAGTGGTTGTCTTTGCACATAACATCGTTTTGCATAAGGAAAATAAAATACTGTTTGTTTCTTTGTTCTGAGTTATGCTTTTACAAGGATGGTTTTGTTGGGAAATTAGGAAAGCATTTTACGGTGCTAGAAAACGGGTGCTCCTGAGCCATTTCAGACGAGAGATCCATAACTACGTTTTGATAATGCATCAGACAATCTTTTGCAATCGTCTTCTGAACTTCTTACAACTTGTTACTGTGTGGAAAGACTTCCCTCGATCTGCAAAACCCGGGATGTTTTCCCTATGACACCTCGCCCGTTTTATGGTCGGACACAGACGTGAAAACCTGCCAGGCTGTGGAATTTTTCTGTTTTTGTGGCAACGTGGGCATGGAGTTTAGCGTCGGTGTGTTGTGGCAGTGGGGCTCTGGCCCCGCTCCTGCGTCCGTGCTGCCGCGCTCCGCGTGGTCCGTACGGTGGAAAAGTGGGAAAGTGGGCGCCGCGCAGAGTGCGAGGAGTCAGGTCAAGGGTCAGATATTTGAGACCATTTTCCCACAGCAGCCCTGTGTGAGTGATCCTTTACTGTGTTAAAAAAAAAAAAAATATTGAAGGGGATTAGAGGGGATTAGCCAGAATATTACCCTCCGGAGTGCAGGCCCAAGGCACTAAGAGAAGAACCTAGCCAGGCAGTAAATGTGCTTTATTTAGCCAGGGCACAACCCCTCCTACATTCCTTCCAAGAATCTGAATGGGAAAAGTTAAGTCCTCAAACTGGATTAGTAAATAATCTCATCGTTTGTGGCATCTGCTGAAATAAATCGGCGAGTTAGCTGCATTCTTACACTTTGGGAGACAGTCAAAGGAATTGCCAGCTACATTGATCAAAGGTGTGGATTAACTTTGGCTCTTATTGAATGAGACACTGTGTGCAGGAGAGAACAACTCGCAGGTAAATACTAGAGCTGAAACTGTCATTTCATTCTTGTAAAAATTACTCATCTGTTTTTAAAAGCTAAGCTCAAAGGAATACCTGACTTTTTTTGATGTGCCATCAGAAAACAAAATTGCATGTCCTGTGTTTCAAGGGAAATGAAAAGTTATTAATCGTCGTGTTCTTTGACCCTTCTGTGCATCAGATACTCTGCTGATGTAGAGAGAAGACTGAAATTGAAAAAATCTGAAATCAGAGATACTTTGTGGTAGTCCAGCAAAACCACATTAAACCAAGATTTTCCTGGCTTTGGTTTATTATTTCTTCCTCTGGTTAGCATGCTGACGCTTTCTGGTTTGCTACTCATGTTTGCAAGCTAACGAGTACTTAACCTCCTACATTGAAACTTTCAATGACTAAATGATGAGCAAAAATGCCATTAGGGTTTTTTTATTAGCCTAAACGTGCAGCTCATTGGTATTGTACCTGCGGCGCTATACTTTGCGTGTTCCACAAGAATGCATTTTTATTTTGTCTTACTGAAGATGCATTTTTTCCCCCCTTACGTTTTGTGCGAAAACCCCAATTTAAGGGTGTTGTACACGGACGTGTGTTTTGCTGCTTTTCACTTCCCGCGCGAGTGCACGCTGCGTGCGCTGTGTCAGGAGAGGGCTGTTTCTTCAGGAGGCAGAAGTTGGCCCCGTGTGATACCCTCAGTTATGCCTCAAATGATCATTTACGTTTCACAAGTAAAGATTTTGGAATATTCCGTGTAACCAAGTGTGCTTTCCGTTTTTCCTTTCAGTATTTACTAGAAATGAAGAGCTTAGTGCTACCTCCAGAGCATATTCTGAAGCGAGGGGACAGTGAGGCAGTAGCTTATGCCTTTTTCCACCTCCAGCACTGGAAGAGGATAGAAGGGGCTTTAAATTTGCTACACTGTACATGGGAAGGCAGTAAGTATCTCTCCTTGTTTTATTTTTTTCTGTACAGTAGACTGATCTCTGCCTTTATCCACCCCAAACGTGACTGGTTCTCTTTGTGAGAAGCTGGTCGCTTCGTTTCGATACAGATCTAATGTCACTCCCTCTTTTTTCAGCGTTTAGGATGATCCCGTACCCGTTAGAGAAAGGTCATCTTTTCTATCCCTATCCGAGCTGCACAGAAACAGCAGACAGAGAACTGTTGCCAAGTAAGTGGTTTCTAAGCAGTGATGATAATAAAACATAAGCTAAGGACACGTTCAGTTTGTGGTATTCTGTATTTACCTTACTGTGATTTTTTTAGTTCGAGCTTCCCGTGAAGGGGATTCAGCTGTTTGTTGATGTCCCCCCAAACGGTCCTGGAGCACTTGACGTGTGGGTGGGGTAAACGTTAGCTCGATTCTGCAATAACATAAGTCCTTCAGAGATTAAGTCTGTGTGTGGTACATCCAGACTAAGTTTGGCCAGTTTTGAGAACAACAAAACGGACCAGCTCTTGGAATTACTTCTTTTAAAAGAAGTCACGGATTTGACTACTCTTGTAGAGGAGCTCTCTCCTTTTAGCAAGGAATACATGCATGGTTCCAGTCCTGCGGTCAGGATCTAGCAGAACCTGTCTGTGATTTTTACGGAGAATCCTTGTTAATCTGCAGCTTCTTAGAATATGTATTGCTGTCTGTCAGTAATTTGTTGGTCTGTATTCATTAGCTGGACATTATGCTGCTTGGAACTTTTTATCCATGTAGATATTTTTATGGATTTATACTAATGCTTGACACTGGAAAGTAAGTCTTCTCCAGCTGGCTGTTACTTCAAGATTACTTAATGCAATTAGGAGCCTTTGTGTTTTTTTCTTTAGGTAAGGGAAACAAGCTATATCATTAGGGCCTATGCTCATCATGTTTAGGAAAATAGCGTTAATTTAGGGTTGGACTGTTAATGGTACATGTTAATAGAGTTCCTTTGGGGGTGAACTACATCATGAAGAAACGTGAGTCCCATGGGACTGAAAAGGGCTACTGCAAAAGCACCAGCAGACCCACTGAGACCACAGCTGTGGAAAGGAAAACTACACATACGTGTTTCTATTTAAAAGCCTAAAGTTATATTTAAAATGTGTAATTTAAATTTGCCCCCAGACTGCTTTAAATTACTCATTTCTCACTTATGCAGGATATTGCACAAGGAATTCCTTGGTTAGCGACTAACCCTAAATTGTAGGCTTCCCAGCATAATTAAACACCAACACATGCAGATATTTCAACACGATCACTCACGCATTCCTGTTATGCTTTAAATATAAAACTACCCATAAATAAAATCATCTTAACACTTTTATTGCAGCACTTCCTTGAGAAATCTTGACACTTCTTTTTTTTTTAATTTGTCTATTTAAAATAATGTTGACCAAATATAATAATTCAGAAATCTGTTATTGGTCTGACCAGTAACAACGCTCAAATGGCTGCGAATGTATAGAATTGTCTTTAGTTGTCCTTATCTGTTCCAGACTTGATTTTAATTTCCCAATGTAGG